ACCACTATCCCATACCCCCCCGCCCGAGACCCCTGCACACCTCGCACAATATACAAGAGTTAAGACTCCATTTTGAGCTTCTATGCAATCACTTCTGCATATATATCGCACACACGCACAAATCAGGACAAAAATATTTAAATTAAAATATATTATTATGGGTGTATGATCTTTAGTAAGTCATTCCCCCCACCCCCAAGATGGCAAACCCTTTTCCCCACAGGAGTGCTTCCAGGGGTAAGGGGAGGGACTTCCAGTGGAAACAGTCAGAGGTTAGGGGCGGGACTTCTGGTCCCAAGATGGCTCCGCCCAGCCTGAGGCCATGTGCCTTTGGGCAGCACTGGGCCGCTCGGGCTGTCACCCAGGGGTCTGGCACCACTCACAGGGGCTACATGTCTTCCAGAGCCAGGTGTTGCTGCCTTGCAAAATGAAGATCTGTGAAAATGCAAATGTGCGTCAGTGAAGATCATGATAAACATTGGATTTATGGGACATTATAATCTGCCTGCCATCTGATAACCCCAGGTAACCCATCTGCATTTTACTGGCTACAGTCTTCTACCACCAGTTCAACATTCTCCCTTCCCCCCCCACCCACCAACCTGTCCTCATACCTATTGTCTCCCATTCCTCTGATCCTCACTGCCATTCATTTGCATTTTCACAAGCCTACATTTTGCATATTGGCTTCTGTTCTAGCCAGGAAAGCACACAAGTCACCAGCAGACTCTCCCAATGCCCAAAAGCTTGCAAAGAACAATTTTTTTCCAGTTCTTAGCTTTCGCTCATTTTTTACTAGGGAAAATGAGAGCAACTCTTCTGTTAAAAAGAACTCAGAAAGAGCACAACAGGTGCCAGAATATTTCTGACACTGGATTCCTGTTTGAAATATCTGGGCTTATCTTGTGAACATGTAGGTGTTTGCACACATTACAGTGCTGATATTCAGTAGCACCCCACAGCCTCCACAAAAGGACATCATGGCACCCTGGACTGCGATGGTAGCCTGGTTGAGAATCACTGCTGTAAACTAAACCAGGTTTCACAGTCCTACCATGTTCCTCCATTTCCACTTTAAACACAACTCCCTCTCCCAGCCC